ACAAGTCTGAGCTGCGTAGTGAGACCCTGTACCAAATACATAAAAATGAAAAAAAGAAAACATTACAGTTGGGCGTGGTAGTGCATGCCTGTAATCCCAGTATTCAGAAGGCTGACGCAGGAAGATTAACATGAGTCTGAAGCCACCTTGGACTACATAATTAGTTCAAGGCCAGCTTGAACTACTTAGTGAGACTCTACCTCAAAAAAAAAAAAAAGAAAAGAAAAAAATTTCATATGCATTGACTATGAAAAAATAAAAACACTTTGGAAGCTAAGAAGGAAAAAGGGCATTTCTAAAGCTGGCATAAGCAGAAATAGCCTGGTGACGATAGAAACAGAGATGCTGGGACATAAAGGCCACAGGGACAATACAGGTGTCACTGGAGAAAGGGATACTGGCATCTGGAAAAGCCTAAAAGGCATACTTTTTGAAAGATTACACAAGGCCTTAAATATCATGTTATAGAGTTTCGATTTTTATCCTGTGTGAAATGTGCAAAGTTTCTCAAAAACTTTGTAATAGAAAGAGGTATTAGCAGACCTAGGTTTTACAAAGTCAAGTGTAGCAGAAAGATGAATAAGATAAAGCCAAGACCAGGGACAGAGAGGCCAGTTAAATGACAAATGCAGTAGTACCAAAAAAAAAAAAAAAAAAAAAACCAGAACCCAAGCAAAGGACTTAGCAGAGGGAAGAGTAGGAAGAAACAAATTCAGGAGGCACACAGAAAGCAGAACTGGCTGCCAATCGAAGTGGAGACTGACGCAAAGCAAGCACTTGAAGACAACTAGCTTAGGTGACTGGGAGATCTAACTGCCATTTAAGGGAAACTGAAAACAGTAGCTCAACAACAGGGTTTAGTGAGAACAGATGTTGGATTTTAGCTCTAACAGTCTTGAAAACTTAAGAACTACTCAAACTAACCAATACTTACTAAATATTAGGGGCTATGAAGTGAATTTTTGAACAGTTCTTGTCAGCAACAACCATCCCTTCAGTTGCTCTTGTATCTGCTCCAAGAACTATGCCATCCTATTACCAAAAAAAAAAAAAAGTTTTAAACATTTTACATACATAAACCACAGTCCTCTGTACTGTTTAGAGAAAACAATCCTGCCATTACCTTGCTGCTTCCACAGTCCGATACCCAGATCCAAAAATATGCCACACTCTTAGACTCAAGAAAGAGCTTTTTAATAAATACTAATTGTAACCTCGTGGTATGGTGGTATATCATTTTCAAGGAAGGCTCAGAGATTCAGTGAACTCTCTGAAAAATGGATTAAGGCCCAGAAATCTCACTACATCACCACTTCGGTCAATTTTTTTTTAATGTGTCATAGTAGGTGTGATGGCATACACCTG